TAGCCCTATCTGTCCTCTAAAAAACAATATATAATATGTGTGGGTGCACTTTGCAAGAAAGTATATTACTGACGTGGAAGAATCACACAGCAAAAATGTCAAAAGTGTGTCAGTCATTTACGCACAGAAACTAAAAACAAGCTCAGTCATGAAGGGGTTAAATAATAAAAGCCCAAAACAGACATTAAATAGTACAGTGCATTTACAACAAATGAATTTACTTACAAAAAAGTATTTCCATCTGGTGCCCTCTTCTGTGGATTCTTCCCCTGTTTTCTCTCCTGATTGCGCAGGGGAGATATCAGTGGGGGATCAGGAAAATCATCAATTAGAGATGTTTTAAAAAATTGTTTTATCTCTATTTAAATTACAGTTAAAAAAAAAGAGTATGTTAGGGGAATGCTCACTGGGGACAGTATGGAGTCCATATGAGCAACCCCATCGAGCATCCCCCCCACATAATGTTTTCTATAATTTAAATAATAGAGATCAAACTATTAGATTACATACTAGTGTGGAGGCAGGCGGTACACAGGTGTCACAGATACTACTATCAGTATATCACTCCCCCTCTTCTCCATTACTTCTACAGTACAGAAGAAGTGATGTAGAAGAAGGGCAGGGGCTGACTGGCAACTTTTAGCCCAGGGGGCAAGTACAACCCAGAGGCCCATGGTGCGGCAATTTGGCCCCCCTCCCACTCTGCCTCTTCCCCACATTCTCCCCGCCCCTGTCTGCCACTTTTGCCCTCCATGTAACAGTAGTGTGAATGTATTTATCGGTTTAGGAAATGTAAAGCACACTGGTAGTGGAGGGATGCCACGTCAGGGCTGTGCGCGTGCATGACTGCTGCGACCCTGGTAGTTCTGCCACTAACTCAGAAATACATTGTACAGCATTGCAGAATGGCATTGGCTATAGAGAACTACAATTCCCAGCAATACATTACACAACAATGCAGAATACCATCAGCTATAGCGGACTATACATCCCAGCAATAATGACTACCAACAGCTATAGAGAACTACAATTCCCAGCAATACATTACACAACAATGCAGAATACCATCAGCTATAGCGGACTATAAATCACAGCAATAATGACTACCAACAGCTATAGATAACTACAATCGTCATTTTGCATCGCTCCCGCTATGCTAATAGTGTATATCCTCAGAAGCTGCACACAGCGCACGCCAGTTTAAGTAGTAACCAGCACCGCTGTATACAGCTTCTAACAGCGTGGGAGACGGGAGGCTGCACTTTTGGTGGCTGCAGGGATTAGGTGAATATATAAAAAAAGTTTGTTTTATGCTCCCCGGATTTTGTTTGAAAAAATGTTGTCACCTTACCTTGGACTGGTGGTCAGTGGGGGACCCTGGTTGGGGGGG